TTTTTTTCCTGTTAAATGGGACTAACGTTAATTGATGGATTACTGTAGGATGATTCATATGTGGACAGTTACATTAGCACCATTGGTGTTGATTTTGTAAGTTTGTGTTTTTATGGTTATCAGACAATCTTATTAGGTCAAATTAGTACCTGGAGAAACAATAACATGGCTGTGTTGTGGTTATTTGTTATTGCAGAAAATTAGGACAGTTGAGATAGATGGGAAGACAAGCAAGTTGCAAATTGTAAGTCAACGTACATATCCGACTATTTCAGATGGATAAATGTCTGGTTGGGTTTGGTGTTTATGTTAAATTTGCAAATTAGCATTTTGTTTAATTTGGAACATCTTAAATTGAAATAATGGTATCAGTGGTTCATACAAATCTCGGTAGAATGTCAATGGTGCAAGATGATTCAAGAGAATTCCTTATCTCATTGACTTATAAGAGTTCACATCAGGGCTGTGGCAATTCAGATTTGATATCGTCTAACACAAGATTCAATCTATTGTGAAAAACACCTTATCCATGTGTGTCTTTGTGCAACTACCCAGGCAGTTTTAGGCAAATTTTAAAGATGTTTCAGGTGTTTTTGAAGTGTATACTTCGAGAATAGGGTTATATACAAATTATGGCATCTTGGTACTATTCTCATACCTCAAAAATTTCAAGTCTTGCCATGTTGGTACATATATAACATATATGCAACAATTTATTCTTGTATCCACAAATTATGGGAGCTCTGTCTTGTTCTACCACAAATGGGCTCAGTAGTTATTGGGGTTAAGTCAATGTTTTATTCTATTGTATTCCAGTGGGATACCGCTGGCCAGGAGCGATTCCGGACTATCACTAGCAGTTATTATCGAGGAGCTCATGGGATCATTGTAAGACATATTTCGATATAGCAATTCCTATATTCGATTGTTTTATCATTATCTACAGCATTATTCATAGCGTCTTGGTATGGTTCCATGTAACTCTATCTTGGGGACTGGAATGACTTATTCTGCGTTAAAGTATGGAATCTTTAGTTTGTCAACCATGAGCTTATGGTTTGGCAGACACAATTTATTCACTTTTGGTGCTAGACATTTCCTTGCATTATTTTGATATATTTCATCTAATGATGTATGTTAATAGCTGGACTAATTACTCATTTATTTTGATCTAAGTAAACATAGATGCTAATGCTACGGCAGTATGGCCATTTGCTTTTGGTGGCTTCAAGGCTACATGCATTATTTGTCATCTTGTTCCTCTAGAGTTGCAAGAGGTTCTTACCACCAGCGTATACTAGTTGTTTTGTTTGTTTTATTTATCTTCATGTGGCTTTTATTATTTATAACGTAAATGAATCGAAGAATTGAACATTCATTGGATTCACAATTACCTTCACAATCACAATCATTTTTCCCTGTTTTACAAGTCCTTTAACTGCCTTGTAGAATATGGTTATGTGTTAGTCCAATTTAACAGGGTTATCATCATTTGAGAGTTGAGAATGACCTTGTATGAATTCCCTAGCTTGTTCACATTTTGATTGTCAATTTTTTTTGCAGCAATGCTCTTTCATTTAAGTATTTACTTTGAAAAGAGTTTGTAATTTGGCCCATTGTATGCATGTATCAGACATTTCAGCAAGTCACATATGTGTTGCCTCTATTCAATGTCTTTTAGCTTTGCGACGAACTATCGCAAAACCTGATTGTCGAGCTTCATATTTCATTAAGATCTTTTTCATTCTCTGTTAGCTACTTAATTTCATTTTACATTATAATTTTTCTGAGAGAAATCCTACTTATACTTTGATAGATTGTGTACGATGTTACTGAGATGGAGAGCTTCAACAATGTTAAGCAGTGGCTGAATGAGATAGATAGATATGCTAATGACAGTGTTTGCAAGCTTTTGGTTGGGAACAAATGTGATTTAGTTGAAAGCAAAGTTGTGGACACTCAAACAGCAAAGGTGAATATTTTTTTCTCTTGCATTCCTTGTTCTATATTTGCTATTTTTTAAAGCTTCAGTGTCTTATTTCATGTCAAGGTTAAGTTTATTTGCATTGTCATATAGAATTTTGTGAGTTTAAATTCAAACGATCTCCATTTAACTTCATAGTTATGTTGACATGTTATATATAATATCCCATTTATGTTATTATGTTGTATTAAGATGAAATGGATAGAGTTACTGCAGCTTGAAATGTGGTTCAGTCTTTAGAGTCTTCCAGTTCCAGTCTTTTGTCTGAATCCATATATATGTCCATTCAGATCACTGTCTCCGAACTACTTTTCTTTTGATATCTCTCGTGTAGGTGGGTCATGTAGGTTGTAGTTTGTGTATTATATACTGGAAAAAAGTGCTTTATGACTTTCCATGCACCAAACGAACAATATATTGTTGAGCCCAAGCTGTGAGGATGGGTACTTCATGATCCGTGGGAGCAAGATTCTGAATGTTGGGTTCTGTTAACCTTCCTTCAATAGAACCACACACACAAATGCACACACACACACACACAGACTTAACAAAATAAAATAAAATTTTGAAGAGGCAAGAAAAGACAGCAGCCAGCAGTGAATGAATTAGATGTTGAAACTGGAATTATATCTGAATTTGACAAATCTACTGACGGTTATGCGTATGCATTTTCCTTTTATTTTAATCCTTTGTTTGATTCTTTTCATTTTGCTTTCTATGTATAGGCACATAGCCAGTGTTTTGCTTTAAGGTTATTAGACCCACGTGTACCTTTGTACGAGAGTGTTTGGACAAACCTGATGAACTGCACTCATACAAAAACTGTGCAAGTTCGCTGAATGTAGTTGTTTTCCATCTTTAATGCTACGGATAAATTTTCTAAATATATATGCTGTATATTTATCTGTAATAGCGGTAGATTGACGTCAACTGGATTAACTTGCAGGCGTTTGCGGATGAGCTTGGGATTCCTTTCCTGGAGACTAGCGCAAAAGACTCTATCAACGTGGAGCAGGCTTTCTTGACTATGGCCGGCGAGATTAAGAAGAAGTAAGCACACAGAACCAACTGGTTGATTAATTTAGATATTTTGTTTATTTGCTGAAATTTGTAGAGCTGACGATTTAGGGGTTAGTGGTAATTAGTGTGCAAAACAGATGATTGGGACTTCAACCAAACCGATTGTCATGTTTATCTGGATGATCAGATTTTCATCTGTACCTTTTATTTGTTTGAACCTAACTATCCATCACGTGCTTTTCACTGTTATTGTGTACGTGTGTATCTAAAAATGAGCATGTGTGTGAGTGCAGGATGGGTAACCAGCCGAGTGGAAACAAGAAATCGGCCAGCACTGTGCAGATTAAGGGGCAGCCGATTGAGCAGAAGAGCAACTGCTGTGGTTAACTGGTTCATGTTATTTATCTCACTGTTTAGGGCATTGTAAAAAAAAAAAAAAAAAAAAAAAAAAAAAAGGATAGCATTATGTGCTTTGAACATAATTGTGCCTTTCAACTCACTTTGAGTTCCCGCAGACTACAGGTGTGGCCAACTTTTCTGACGTTTCTTTTCCTTCTTTTTTTAACTGATGATAAACCCAAATTGTGGCCATCTAATATTTGATCTTCTGCGTGCTTTCACACACACACACACACACACACATTGAAATCTTTCCACTCATTTGCTATGACTAACATTGAACTTGCAATGCAAAAAGGCTATGGTTGAATAATTGAAAAATAAGATGATTTAGGAATTCACATTGAATGCCGATTTTGGTCGCTTGCAAATATAATAGATATATTGTGGAATGTTCATGGCCAATATTGCCATTTCCGTGTTGCTTAGCATAATTATTTTGAATCTATGTCCCTTAGTTAACTCTCTTGAATCATTATAAGTATACATATGAGAATATTGTGGCATTTTCGTAAATAAAAATGCTATGTATCATTTGATTAACTATATCGATGGTCATGATTAAGTTAAATTTTATTAAATGGCAATAATATGTTGTGGCATTTTTTGTAAATAAATGGACATATTATGGTAGAATACGAATATTTGACCATTAAATAAAGGAAAATTGGACATTTAATTTAAACTCACCAACCTTGTGGGACCCACCACTAGACACATTAACACTAACCACCACCTGCCCACTCCCTCACTCTCTTTCACACACACACATGCATACTCATTCGTCAATGGACACAACACCTACGTGAGAGGTGAGTCACCCAACCTCCCGTCGCAGCTTCACTGGTTGCCACCAGAGACAACTGTCGTCCGTCACAAACAAGATGGTCCAGTTCCACCGCATATGGCCGTCGGTCAGTCTCTTTCTAAGCTTCACGCCGACCAGTCGTGTTTTTCCTTCGACGCACACCGCCGGAATCAGCTCCACCATTGCAACCAGTCTAATATTGGCCTTGTTTGGTAATCAACGGTTAGCTGACTGCATTAGTTGTTTTGACCAACGGATTAAATTAGCTGTTTTGGTAAATTAGTTGTTTTTAATTAGCTGTTAACATGTGAAATTACTAATAAGACATCATCATAATTTATCATTCTTATTTATGTAAAACTTATAATTATTTAAGAAATAAATATAATTTATATTTTAAATATTTATTTAATTGATTTAAAATATATAATAATATAAATAATACTACAATGAAAATATTTCTTAATTCCTACCGTTCCGGAAAAAAAAAAATATTTCTTAATTGAAAAAATAAGATCGCATCATATAAACAAAACTAATAACAAGTCCTAACTATTTTAAAAATCTAAATATGACTTACTTGGAATATATCATTACAATTGAAAAAAAATAAAAAAAAAATCAAAGTAACTAAAATTTACCGTAACTAATTTCTAAAAGTTCTCATGGTCATCTAAGTATTTGTACTTTTACTTTATTAGATTTCCCTAATTGTTTGGGTTGGGTGTTCCTAATTTTTTTTTTTTTTTTTTCACTAGATTTTTAAATTATTTGGATGTTTATGCAACTTTGAAACTTTTTTTTACTATATTTTTGACAATATGTTTGAATGTTTCTACAAACTTTGTCATATTGTTTTAGGAGATTACGTGATGAATTAAGATATATGATAGTGTATCTATGCCTACATCTGTTTAAAATTTAGTTGGTAAAATGGGTGGTTAAGTTACTAAGTATTAGTTGGAATAAAAATTACATAGTTAAATATATCTCTTACATTATATCAACAAACTAAATATTATTTATATAAAGTTTGAATTAAAAAATATCACGATTTTTGTTATTATTTTTCCCCCAAAGTATGAGATTAAATATTATTTATATGAGTTTGAATAAAAAAACTATCACATAAAATTTTTGTATAGAGAGTTGTTCATTTATTTGCTATTGTAATAATGTTTGGGGCAATTAAGACTTTTAATTTTTTTTATCTGAACCGCATAGCCAAAACGCTGCAAAAGGCAACGTTTTTCATTTTGGCGGATTGAGCAAAAAACGTTGGTTACAACAACTCATTACCAAAAGGTGTTTTTAGCTGATTGTGTATGGTCAAACAACTAAATAGCTCAAAAAGTTGTTTTGAAGTGAAAACGCTAATAAACAAACGCAACCATTGTCATCCTCCTTAACCATTTGCATCCAGCCTCCCGCCGCCCACTGCAACCAGCCTGCCGGCCGAGAATCCACTGAAAAAAATTCACAGAAAATTCATTCTTCATCCTCAGTTTGCCACTGTCCACGTTCTCCGACTAGTATGTAACTCCGACCACGATCGATTTTTTTCTCGCTAGTAGTTTTTGCGTCCTATCGGGCCATAGAATATCAAGTTGCTAAATTCCGACGAAGTTGATACACTGGTATAGTGTCCGACGAGGCTGACACTTCAGCCCATCCCCGCCGCCATCTCTGACGTCTGATGCCGGCGTGCTACGGGAGAAAGAGCAAGTGAAACAATTTTGAGTGTATGGACTTTGTTTTGAAAATTTGATAAGTAATGAGGACTTACTTGCAATTTCATAAGCTTTAATATATTGCATTGTAGTATAAAGCAAATTTAGTAAAATTTAAATAAATACATGCACAATAATGATATATAAAATGCACATTATTATGTGGGAACATGCACATCATAAAACCCGTTATATTTTTACAAAATTACATAGTCGTTAATTGGTCGGTTCAATCGGTTCATTATTTTACCAAAATACTTCTGTATATATGGTTGATCATCTATCAATTTAGTTGAATGACCGACCAAGATGTCGAAACCAGATTAATTTAAATAAATTATTATTTATATTATAAAATACAATTAGTATTTTTTTATGTTTAATGTTATATATTAGTTTTTAGATAGATACACAATATAAATATACAATAAAATTGTACTTTTATATATATGCACTTTAAAAAATATTATCTTATTTATATGAAAATTATTAATACTTTTAATAAATGTGCAATCTTAATAAGTGAACTGAACAATATTGTAAAAAAATTCATATTCTCTCGTAATCGAACGACCAAACAAACGAAGCGAAGCATATTATAACATATGTTATATTATGGGGAGCGATTTTATTCTCTCGATGGGGAGCGATTTTTTTTTCCTTTTCTGGGCTAAGAATTCTTCTTGTTCGGCTCGTTTAATTCATTCTTCACTCTTGTTCCCCTCATTCTCCAGATATTTAGTATTCCTAGTAGCAGAATCGTGGGTTTTCTAACCAATAGGTGTCTCTTATTTGGGGATCTAGTGTTCCTGCTAGGATGGGATCCTCCAACTGTATTGGGCACAACGACGATCTGGCTAACTGTTTGCAGCAAGTCTCTCTATCAACCAAAGAAAATAAGTTTATTGACATTGCGCAGCACGACATTCGCATTAGCGACGATGAATGCAACCATAGTCTATTTGGTAAGATCATTGGCGATAGAAAGGCTAGCTGGTTTGGCATTCAACGAACGATGAGCAATATCTGGCGGCTGCAACAGCCAATGGAAATCAAAGAGTTGGGGTTCAACTTCTTTCAATTCATCTTCCAGTGCAAGGACAATATGGCACGAGTAGCAAAAGGTATAAATTGGGTATTTGATAACCAGTACCTGGTATTATCTGAGTGGCAATAGGGACTCACAAGCAATCACAAAGCTTTCCAAGAACTTCGTCTATGGGTCCAGTTCTTCAATGTTCCGTTAAATTGGCTCAGCACTGATGTGGGATTAAAAATTGGTTCAATATTCCAATCTGTCAAGAATGTTGTAGTAGTGGGAGCCGGTTCACATGGAGGAAGAATTCTGCGGCTTCTGGCCACAATCAATCTACAGGAGCCACTCCCAAGATGCGTTAATCTAAGATTAGGAGGTCAAGAGGTTAATGTAGGCTTCAAGTATGAGAGACTCTTGAACCACTGTCACTACTGTGGGTTCATCGGGCACCTTGAAAGAAGCTGCGAAAAAAGACTGGAGGATATCAACAATGATTCAGTAAAGGAAGGCCAGTTCAGCGACTGGATGAGAGCCATGGAAAGATTTCATTGGTCGTGTCATACCTCCTCTGACTCGAGAAGCCCAAACAAGCTGGATAATCCTCTATCTCCTACCCACTCAAATCCCTTACAAACTACCAGTAGCCAAGTTGAAGACAGCCAACAACTTCTCCCAATTACCACAGCACCTCTCACACCCCTTCCATCAGATTCTGAACCATCTCAATCGCAAACGAGGAAAGCTCAGAATACTGGAGTCAGTGCCATCAATGAAGATCACCCTCGCTCTTCAAAACTCATGATCACCACCTCAGAACTCATCCCTCAACCCAAAGCCATGGACATAGAAAGCTCTTCCCAACTATCAGTGATATATCAAAAACCCAAACATCCTCAAACTAAGCTATAGAAACGATCCTCTTCAAGGGAGGGAAGACTTATCAGGCAAGAGGAATACCCACCCCAACCTATATCAATCATCAGTGGCAAAAGAACCAAAGAAGTCTCAGAAGTTACTGCCCAAACTCACATTGCAGAACTCAAACAAGCACTCCAGCGGAGAACAAGAAACTAAAGATCTCAATTACCGAGGTGGAGGTGGCCAGCCTGGAATGGCGCCCAAGTGACCAATCCTAGCCGTGGTGTGGAACTGTAGAGGGATAGGTGGGCCCTCTACGGTTTCCCAAATACGAGAGTCTTGCAGAACTCACCACCCATCTTTTGTTTTTCTTTTAGAAACCAAAAAACAAAATGGCTTTGTTAAATCAGTAGCTAGAAAGCTTGGTTTAGATAATAGTTTTTTTGTTGTCAACCCTACAGTAAGTAGTGTGGGATTACTTTTGCTGTGGTCATTGGATATCCAAATTCACAATACTGTCAGCACTAACTTCTACATTGCTATAGAATTCTATACA